ATGCTCAGGCAGCAGGTAGAGGGACCTTTGGAGCTGCCAAAGCAGTTCAAGGCACGTTTGCTAGCGACTATGCCAATTTGGTCGCATTTGCCACATCACTACGACATTACCTGTCTGTACTTGTGTCTATTGGTCACGATCATGTCCCAGGACACACCGGCTGCTTGGGTAATGAACTTTGCGATGCCTTGGCCAAGCTCGCACGTGCAGGGCCGGCTGATGTGTTCGATCGCTGCATGCCCACGTGGCCTTCGTCATGGGCAGCTCACCCTCTTGCAGCTTGGGCTTGGGCTACCTTGCCAGGCCAGCCTGACATCCCGCGGCTTTACTGTTTTGATACCGAAGTGAGTCTTGCTCAAGCCCAGCCTGCTACGCCGGTTGAGGCACCTTCTTACGACCAACGCCGTGTTGAACATCCCGCCACTGAGGCCACCTTCAGCGTCTCTTGTGTCAGTGTTAATGTTCTCACATTGCGTGATCCGAAGCCTGGCCATGCCACTACTGAAACTGGCCTCCGGATCTTGGGACGCAAGGATTTGTTGAAACATTCCTTGAAGGAGATCTCCCCAGTCTTGGTTGGGATTCAGGAAACTCGCCTGCCTGAGACTGCCGTGCAGCCTGATCCGGATTACTGGATCTACAATTCCGCTGCCACCCCGCGAGGAGTTTGTGGCTGTGCTCTGTGGATCTCCAAGATTCACCCCCTTTATAGCACGCCTGATGGCCCGGTGTTTGTTCGATCACAAGATGTCACTATTATCGGTGTTTCGCCCAGACATCTCACTGCTCACATTCAGACTCCCAGACTTGCCTTGTATGTGCGGGTGCTTCATGCCCCTTCCATCGCCAGCTTCCCCGTGGAGGAAGTCCGTGCTTTTTGGGATGCCCGAGCTACCGAAATGCTTGCCAGGCCTGCTGGAGCAGAGTACTTGATCCTTTGCGATGCAAACTCCAGACTTGGGAGTGTTATATCTGACTACGTTGGAAATCACGGTGCTGAGGAGGAAGGTGTAGCAGGTGAACTTTTTCATGAGTTCATCACCAAGCTTGATGCGATCGCTCCTTCGACTTGGGCGTGCTGGCATGAAGGTCCCCACTATACGTGGAGATCCCCGCATGGTTCTCTCTCCCGCATAGATTATGTGTTGGTGCCTCGCTCGTGGCAGTTCGCGAGCATCCACTCCAGAACCTTGCCCGATGTTGAGCTTATGCAGCAGCGGGAAGACCATGTTCCCGTATGTCTCATCTGCAAGTTTTGTAAACAACTTGCTCCTGTCGCATATACCCGAGTTCACAAACGGATTGCTCGTCCTGAGGCCTCGTCCCGGGGGCCAGGCGCAGTTGCACTGCTTGCGAGTCAAGTCCCTGTCGCGTCTTGGAGCCTCGATGTCGATACTCACTACCAGGCTCTCGCCACTGCCTAGACGGCAGTTAGTCAGACACTTGAGCCTGAGACAGTTGCCAGCATTCAGCAACCTTACTTGACGCTTCCTACGATGCATCTTGTCGAGGAACGCCGCCAGCTCCGTTGTATGCTTCGGTCCAGTGCTGCCGAACGACGACGACGACTCCTACTCATCAGCTATGCAGCTTTCATTCTGCATACACGGCACTCGGCCTTCAACCTCCACCAATGTCAGACCGCTGATAGATGGTTTCGCGCCATCGACCATGACGAAGCCACACTGTTATTGCAGTATCAAAGGCTTACGCGGAGCCTGCGACAGAGTGTTGCTGCAGATCGCACGGCCTATCTTGAAGGACTTGCTGCGGAAGTCGCCCAAGGGGATATTGGCAATCCCAAGGCTCTCTACAAGGTTCTGAGACGGGCTTTTCCGGCTGCGCGGCCCTCTCGTAGACAGGCCATCACACCACTACCGATGCTGCAGTTGCCCGACGGCACTCCAGCTACCTCCACTGCAGAGCGTGCCGAAACTTGGCGACAGCATTTTGCTCATCAGGAAGGAGGCTTGCTTGCCAGTGATGCAGACTATGTTGCTGACTTTGCTGCACAATCCCTGGTGCCGAGAACCTTGGACATTACCATTGTCCCTACCTTGAGCTCACTAGAACGCCATATTCTGATGGCTAAGACGTGCAAGGCAGCGGGATCGGATGGCATCACAGCAGAAATGTTGAAGTTGCATCCTCCTAGTACTGCCCGCCAGCTCATTCCTGTTTTGCTCAAATCCAGCCTTCGGGTACAAGAACCGGTTCTCTTTCGAGGAGGGTCTCTTGTTTGCTTGGCTAAACGGGCTGGACAAGCTCTGAGTTGCGAAGCTTATCGCTCCATCCTTGTGTCTTCGGTTCCAGGCAAACTATACCACAAGCAGCTCCGGGAAGCTGTTCGGCCCTTGCTGCTCGAGAGCCAATTGGAATTCCAAGCGGGTGTTTCCCCAGGTCAAGGGATCGAAAGCATCTCACTTGCAGTCAGAACTTTCTTCGCCTTAGGTCAAACTCGTGGAGCACATGCCTCCGTTACGTTTTTTGACCTTCAGGCAGCCTTCTATCAGGTGATCAGGCAAGCCTTAGTTCCTGCCACGGCCGATGATGAGAGCCTCCTACGCATACTGCATTCGCTGCGTTTGCCTCCTGCCGCAATTAGTGAACTGTGCGATCATTTGCGTAAGGTTGCCCAACTCCCAATGCTGGGTGCCACTGACCATGCCATTGCCGTCATACAGGATTTGTTCAGAGGCACATGGTTTCGACTGTCTGGCTTCACTGCTCTCACCATTACTAAGCGTGGATCGCGCCCCGGAGATCCTACCGCGGATCTGCTTTTCGGGCTCACCCTTTCCGCCCTCTTCAAGACGGTCCACCAGGCCCTCAATGATGCCGGCCTTTGTCCGGATATGCAGCGGGCTGCCTCTCGTCCTGCCTGTCTTGAGCAGCATGATCTCGCCGAGTTGGGTTTTCCTGCATGGGCTGATGATTTTGTTGCGCCTCAAACTGGTGATAGTACGGCTTCTCTTGTCTTTCGGACCTGCCGCACCATCACCACTGTTGTGGATTTGGCTACAGCTTCGGGCATGACCATCAAGTTCGGCAAGGAGAAGACCGCGCTTATGCTCCCCCCTGCCGCTTTGTGCAAGGAAGCACACCTTTTTGGGCAAGATTCTGATGGCACGTATCTTTTGACGTTGCATAACTCTGTCCTTGGCGAAAACTTCGAGATCCCAGTTGTGGAATCCTATCGACATCTTGGAGGAGTTATGACGTCAACTAACACACCAGTACCAGATTTACACTTCAGGCGTGCTCAGGCCTATGGCACTCTTCGGCCGCTAAGGCGGCGCCTTTTTGGTGCCCGCGAATACCCCATTCGCACGAGAGCCTTTCTGCTCAGGTCTTTAGTGTTGTCGAAGTACTCCCATTCTGCTGCCGTCTTACTCTTGCGTGCATCCTGCCATTTGCGCATTTGGGAACAGCACTGCATTGCGCTGTGGAGGGCGCTTTTTCATAGGCGTTCGGCTTCCATGCAGATCCACAGCTTTCGTGTGTTGTATGAGGCCCATGCCCCTTCACCACCCCTTGCCCTTGCCAAAGCACGTGCTGGTTTTCTACGCCGTGTCTTCTTGCATGGACCTCGCGCTTTGCTGCACATGCTATGGGACCACTGGATCCTTTACCCGAATGGCTCGTGGTTCAAGCAACTCCAGGATGATATCAGTCATGTATCCCAGTACGTCCCATCCGTACGGAATGTCCTTGGGCACGGGGATGCCATAGCTGCCCTCCTTGAGGCTTATCATACTGATGTGACCTGGTGGACCCGCCAAGTCAAGGCTGCCGAACGTTTGTTCTATGTCGACTTGGAAGTTTGGCACAATGAGAGACAGTTAGGCGCGACTTCTGCCTTTGTGCCAAACCCACCGCAGGCAGGTGATGCTTATGCCTGCTATTTGTGCAGTGCTAGCTTTCCCTTGCGAAAGCACCTGTACGCACACTTGGCTCGTTCGCACCTTGTGTTTTCACCTACCCGGCATTTTGCCACCAGTAACACGTGTTCGGCGTGCTTGAAGGTGTTCCCCACCGTTCGCCAGGTCCAGCATCACCTCAAAACTGCCTCTCGTTGCCTCGAGCGGTGCGTATTCTTACACCCGCCCCTCACCTATGAGCAATTCCGGGCATTGGAAGCTCCGAGTCGTCTTCAGGAGGCACGTATCAAGAAAGGCGAGTGGCGCGCCTTTCGCGGATCGGTGCCTATCGCTCGGGCTCCTCGGGCCTTTGGGCCGCGTCTGCCTACTGCAGCCGAACGCATCCCTGATCAGGTCTCAGACACAGATCCACTCACATCCTTGTCGCGTGGATTTACTCCGGCTGCCGCCCACGTAGTTTGGATTTCAGACTACATCGAGGGGCGCAGCCAAGAAGGTCGGCGGCAGACTGCACACCGTTTCTGGGACCTGAGACCCAAGTTTCACCTTCAGAATTTATAGTGCTTGAATTTTGGGACGCACCGCGTCGCGCTGTCGCTCAACATGAGTGCCGGCCTGCGGATCGGGAGTCCACAAGAAAAGAAAAAGAGTAGCTAGTAGCTGCTAGTAGCTAGTATCAAGTAGCTAGTCGCCAGTGAGCAGTTAGCAGCTCGTAGCTAGCAGCTAGCAGGTAGTAGCTAGTAGCTAGTAGCGAATAGTAATTAGTAGGAAGAAGTAGCCAGTAAGTAGTTAGTAGTGAATGGTGAGTAGTTCGCAGAGACATAGGTGTTAATAGCGGCGGTGGTTGTGGTGGTGGGGTGGTGGTGGCGGTGGTGGTGGCGTTGGTAGACAGGAGAAAGGATTGCTCGACTTGCACTTCAACGAATTCGGGAGGAGACTCGGCTACAGTCTTTGCTTGTGAAGTTTGGTCGTCTGGTCGTCTTCTCCAGATGAAGCGTGCAAGGAGACATCTGCATAGAGAGCTATGACGACTACTGCCCATCCGGAATCAAGGAGGACTGCACCTTCATCACGTGCTGTGTGGCAGAGGCTGGCGTACTCTCCCACCCAGCTTGATGCATGAAAGTGGTCTGGAAAGATCTTGCGCCTGTCAGGTCAACGGCTTGAACTACTGGGGGAAGGATTGCCTGGCCTTCGGCACATCCACGAACTGTACAGGCCTGTTTTCTGAGGCCTAGAGACTTAGACTCGATGGTTTCGGATGCCCTGCGAGGCAAGTTGCGGACGATCTTGGATCGAATCCAGCAAACACCCCTACTGCTGGATGCAAGCTCTGCCTACGATCCCATCATCCCCAGGCTCGGGATGGCCAACGCCCTTTTGCAGTGATGTTGCAGAGGGGTTCCGTGTGTTAGAAATTAGAGGCCTCCGCCCACTGGGCGTCTCACGAACGAGTGCTATCAAAGCAATTGCAACACCATCAGCGAGGAGCTGCTGGGGAAGCTAGGGTCCTTCGCCGTCTGCGGCTTTCGCACCTTGCTACCTATACGGACCTTGCAGGAATACATCGTCAACCAATTCACCGGCTTTCAGACCGACCAGCGCGTCTGCCCCGTTGAAGAGTCTCCGGATCGCGGGTTCGAGTGCTTTATCGGCCCGTTTGAAGCAGATGGTGTCACGGACGTGTTGCAGCAGTGCCAGAACGGGAGATTCCAGTGGAACTTCTGTCTCAATCGGAAGACGATCGATGGCAGACCTCACACGGCGGGGGAGGGGACCAAGGGTGAGCATACACTACCGCGAGCAAATGAAGCTAGAATCAGCATGACAATGCCCTGCCAGGCGTGCTGCAGCTTTCTGTACCTGAATTCTCGTCAAGGAGTTGAATGTCGCATGATGGGCGTCGCACAGGGTACATGTGCGAGTCTTCTGGAGGAGAGCTCCCTTTTAGTTCAGCTTGAAGTCAAAATCAAGGTTTGCACGCCCGAAGTTTGATGCGTCTTCAGGAGTTGACACGAAACTTGAGCACCAGCACCTACACGATGATCACCAATGGCCAGGTGTTGAAATCATGCTCCACGGACGACTGCAACAATCCGGACGATGAGATTGCAGGCGCTGGGCTGGGGCTGGGCGGTTGTGGGCTGTTGTGGGGGTCTTGCAGGCTGTCCGGCTATGGTGGACAGGGCGCCGGCCGTGACAGATGGAATAAGGCCCTTGCTACCGTCTGCATAGGCATCGTGGGCCATGGAGGGAGGAGGGCAGCAACAGTTCGAAGTTGGAAGGACCACCGGCGAACCGACGAGGGAGGAGATCTTGGAAGGCTCCGTGGTTCGCCCGCCAGAGCCGCCACCTTGGGGCCTCATCGGAGCGGGCAAAGCAAAATGCATCAACAAAGAAGCAGTGAGCTGTTTTACCACTTGGAATTGGGGGATGTAAGGCTCTGTTGGTGCATCCAGGAGGACTGTCCTCGATCCCCTTCGCCATGGTTTGCATCGCCATGGCCCTGAGCAAAGCCGGCGTCTTCAAGGAGGCGATCGAGCCGTTGTTCCACAGCAGCAAGGCAACCGTGGTCGCGGAAGATACCTTCATCGCCGCAGGGCCTATTTAGCTGGTGGGGAGAGGGTAGACGTGATGTTACAGTCTGTGCAATGGTGCACAGTCAGAAATCACGGTTATGCTATGAAAGCGTCCTGTTTCAACTCTCTACACATCGTCTTTTTGACCCCAGTGAATGCATGGGCTGCACCTCTTCACGCTCATGATGGTGCTCCTGTGATGTTGGCTGTCGTTCCAGGTTGCCAGTGCCGGCATGTAGCGCTGAATACCCTAGCTGGCCAGTGAGATCCCTCTCGCATGGCTTCGATGCTCTTGCTTTTGCTCTGAGAATGCGTGTGCCCTCAGCGAATCAAACCCTGCGAAGGCGGGGAGTGTCGGAGCGAAGCGTAGGAAAAGATATGGCCAAAGGAGCGGACGGAACGACAGAAGGGCATGCACACAATCCAGCACAGTTGCCCCACAGCATTTGCTGTGGACTGTTGGACGCATAGAGGCATAGAGAAGCAAGAAGTGCACGCAAGATGTGCCTTGATGCCATCCCAGGAGCCTCAGAAGGATCTCATGACCAGTGGAACCAAAGGCATGGACCAGAATCTGACCTATGGTCGGGTCGAGCCGCGTAACCTGGCTCAGAGAGCTTGCACATGGCTCTGCAGATCATGACATGTCGCCGAGGTCCCCTTGGCCTGAGGAGCCAACTGGATGATGTCAAGGCCTGGTGGGGGATCACGGGGGGGGGGGTCAGTCTCGGGTGAAAGGCTCTTCCGCTGGCGCTGAAGCAGAAAGCTGAGACGGCCGTGCCGGAGGCAGCCAATGCTGCTTGGGTGGATGCCATCGTCGCGGAGGCAGGCTGCCCTTAGAATGTCACCTTGTTTGTCCGTGAATGTCCGTTCATTGGATATTGTGACAGGCCACTATCCAGCAGGTGACACCGGACCAGATCCATCCGCTGCCCGATGTTTTGGAGGGAACCACCTACACAGGTGAAGGCGCGATTTGTCTACCTGAGGACCAGGGCGTGCTTCAAGCCTTCGGCAGATGCGGCGGGAGTTTGTCAGATGTCCCTCAAGCTTTAGCTGGCCCCGGTTCCGGCCGTTCCGTTTCTCCAGGACCTGGACATGCCCTTCACCGAGAAGCGGGCCCTGGCGCTTCAGCCGGCGGACGACTTCCTTCGCCGCCCTTGCCTTGCTTTGGGCCCGTTATCCAGTCGTGATCCTTTGATGCTTGCGTGGCAGATCCGAGCAAGAGCCAGAGCCAAGACGACCTGAGCAATCATCACCAGGCAAGCCTGATGTGCAATTTTGCCGACTGCATGTCATGCATGTGTTGAGATGCCTGCACATGTCCAGTCTGTCCGGTCACAGGCCGTCAGCAATGGTGGCTCTAGCCGGCTGTGCCACGGCGTGTTAAAGCATCAGCACATAGCGAGCGGTTGTGTGTGATGAGCGGAGGAGGGGAAGCTCGAGCGTTCGAGCCCTTCGGTTTATCTCAACTTCAAAAGATCCCATAGTTTTGAATGCGAAGTCCGGCTTTCCAGTTGCACTCCACATATCCAGAACCACGAATGCCTTGGGGCCGTGTGCTCTCTAGTCCTCCTGTGCGGGCTGTGCAGAGGTAGCCTTGCCAAAGCAGATTTGTGACGACTAATGACTAAGACTAAGACCTGTGTCTTGCATCCAGCTGTTGAGTTTGGGTCCATCCTGGCCGAGAGACGCTGAGCGTATCTTAGCGTAGCAAACATGCCAGGCCATTGACATTAAACTACACACATGACCCAGCGCTGAGTCTAAAACCTCGAGCCTGCTAGGAACACGTCGCGAACCGGTGCTGGCAGCAGTTTCGCTGTCAGCCGGGCCCACAGCAAAAGGTCGTGACCAGTCAGCACTCAGTGGCCCCGGGCCCTAAGCCCTGTTCAATTCGAGCTACAGTACCACCAGACCCGTGCCAAAGATCCGCTCACCCACTCAGAACATGCAGGATAATGACCACGGCTCGGACTGTGACATCGGGTGCCTACAGCAGCCACACTGACCTGCTGACTGTCACCGAGAGACCTCTGTCGGAAGGTGGGCCAGGGTTGGGAGGTTTCGAGTTTAGGGCAAAGTGCAGGGTTTTTGGGAATTGCAGTGTAGCGTTCTAGACCCTAAACCCCAAATCCTAAACTCGGCGCTTGGCATTGCCTCGGCGCTTGGCATTGCCCAGTGCGACATGATTTGTAGCGCCTGCAAAGAACATGGTGGGCCCACCAGAGCATCGGAGCTTTGTATCTAAAACCTTGTGTCCAGTTGGTGTCTCACCATTTGCTTGTCTTCTGAAAGATCTTGAATGCTTGGGGGTTGCCTTCACTTAGCTGACTCGCGTTCACGCCGAAAGTCTTAAGGGAGCGGGCTTTGTGTTCGTCGGGATCTGAACTTTTGTCAAAGACTAAAGCCAGGGGGTTCTGCAGACGACCTGGTGCTGCAGCAGGACACACCGACCGACTCTGCTTAGTTACAGCCAGCCATTGATACCAAGAGCACCAATCCAGGAGCAGCTTCCGGAGCCGCCCTCAGTGGCGCCTGTGCCGGAGATTGGTGCCTCGTCTTCATCCTCCTCAAGTTTTCGGGATAGTCGTGTTGATGCCTGCTTTGTTTCAGCCTGACTTCCGCGACCTGATCTCGACTGCTCGCTCCGTGTCGTGTCTCTCGCTCTCTCTCTCTCTCTCTCTCTCTCTCCCATTCTCTCTCTCTCGCTCTTTCTGTCTCTCTCTCTGTCTCTGTGTCTCTGTGTCTCCGTGTCTCCGTGTCTTTGTGTCTCTGTGTCTCTGTCTCTCTGCCTCTCTGTCTCTCGCGCTCTCTGTTTCTCTGTCTCTCCGTCTCTGTGTCTCTCTGTCTCTCTATCTCTCTGTCTCTCTCTCTCTCTCTCTCTCTCTCTACCTCTCCTCTCGCTTTGGGCTTTCGTTTTCGGTTCTGTGGAGTTGTCTTTTTGCACAAGGACGGACTTACTGTCGATAGAGCCTATGCAAGAGTAGTAGTTCTAGGTCCTGGGTAATGCTGCAATGCTGATGCAGTGCAATGTTTCCAGTGGCAAGGTCACGTGGAAGGGAGTGTGTCTGGCCTTGTTCTAAGCCCGGTTTCAGTTGGGACCCTTGGCAGCATGGAGTTGCGCACTCACCTTCATCTTCAAAGGTTGTTTGGTCTCAGGAATCTGCACCGACCTGCAGCGGCGGCACGCATGTTGCGGAATCAGTCTGCTGGGATGCCCCGCGTGGCCACCTGAGCCTCGGGGACGTAGCTCGGATTCGTGGGTGCTTGTGACCTTGAACGTGTTCCGGTCGCGAGGTCCATGTAGTTTGTGGCCCTGCCAAGCAGTGCTCCACATTTCCAGCTGCCAAGCAGCTCCAAGTTGCGTCTCACGTCATCAGGTGTCTGAAGGGAGTATGGGTTGGTGTAAGAGAGCTGCAAAAGAGACTGTAAGTCACCATTTGGCAGGTGTTCCAGTTCCTGATGACCCTCGATAGCTTCCGGTGGCCTCCCCATTGGGCTTCCTGACTTCCGGTTATTTCCCCTCGAGGTGAAAACGCTCCCTACCCTTCAGAACCAAAGCCTGCACCCCAAACCCCGAACCTCCCAAGCCGAAACCCCCAGCCGCGCCTGACTCCACGAGCTCGCAGTGTGGGGGCCATTTCAGAACGCTTTTTCCTGGGAGCTTCCTCGGAGTGCTCCCTCCAAAGATCTCTGACATTTGGGCGTTTAGAGTCTTAGGAATTTTAGGATTTTAGTGCTTTTAGGATTGTGGCATTTTGCTCTAGGGACTGTAGGGTTCTCAAAATCCCTGCAAAGAACTCCGGGTCTGTCTTCGGCTACTGTTGCCGGGCTTTGGTGAAGGAAAGTGCAGTCGCATTCTCAATGCTCTCTGTGTGTGTCATTTCAGTCATTTCTATTTATACTATTAGCTGCCCCGGAGCTGACACAGGGAGCTCCGAAATTCAGGAATCCGCAGCTCGTTCAGAGCCCACTCCATGCATGAAGCAGAAAAGCTCTCAGGAAGCCACAAGAAGAAGAAGAGACGACTAGTAGCAGTCTCAGTCTCCCGAAGCCCGGCCAGGAAGTGGCGGACGTGCCGAGGCCGTCGGAGCTTTGGGCTGTGCAAGTTGGCTTCATCGCTTTGTAGGAGTGGTGCCCATGAAGATTCGCTTCCCAACGCCTCCGCCTCCGCCTCCGCTGGCTCAGACGGCAGGATGTAGGGGGCATGATACAAAGTCTGGCATGGGGTGAACTGTCGCGACTCAAGGTGAGGCAAGGCAAGGATGCTGAGACAACTTCGAGCACCGAGGCATCGAGCCCTTTAACCGAGCAAGTTAAACAGAATGAAGAGCTTTTGGTGTGGTTTTTTCTGCGCCGGCAACAGCAAAGCCCGGCAACAACGAGCAGCACATCTGCAAACAAGGACGGTCGAGCAACAGACTCATTAGATTTCTTCAGTGGCCTCGCTAACCGGCGCAGCGGTGAATGCCTCAGCAAAATGCTCTGGTGCAGAGCACTGATCGTGGCCGCACGCCATGCTCAGGTCGCCATGAGCAAGGCGAGTTGTTCGCACCCCGCAATCGTGTTGTGCACGGCTTGGTCGGCCCAGGCGAACACTCCTCAAGCCTTGCGCTTGCTGGCCTACAGTCTTACGGCGGGGAGCACCTTTCAAGATTAAGCCCAAGAGTTGAACAATTTTCGCGGCATGCCGGCGCTCAGGGCATCGGCGTTTTCTTCATCTTGCTACACCTGCTGCTCACCTATGCTTGGGCCCCGGAGCGTCTCGCTACCAGAGTGTCTTGTGGTCAGATGTTTCAGCGACTTCTAAGGCACTGGGCAGCCCAGGTGTGGGAGCGTTTGCACAAACTGATGCGGATGCGCGCAGCTGCCGGAAGTTTGTCAGGCATGGTGACAGTCGTGCTGACTGTGGTGCCACACTCAATTTTTTCCTCCAAGTAGCTTGCTTGTTTGCAGTGTGGTTGCTGGTAACAGTCGAGGTGATGAGCGGTGTCTGGATTTTCCAAAGGCAGCATCACATTCCTGCAGTTTCCTCCTGACTGGCACGCCGACCTCCTGCTTGAATACTTCCGGTCGCACATGCTGCGATTGGAGGTCCCAGCAGTTCCGTGCGAGAAACGAGCAGGAGGCTTGCGTGCTCGGCGCATTGCTTGTCCCTGCCTCGCATAGATTTTGCCGGCCAGGCACTCCTAATGCAACATCGCGCCTTCGCAGCAGAGGCCAAATAATAATGGTTCGGGGGTGGGTCGCTAAACTATCTTGCAAAGGCCAACGTACTTAGAAGCTGTCAGAGTGCAGGAGCCAATCCGCACATGTCATTTGATCCTCGGTACAGCTTCCCACCTTTTCCCGAATGTCGTGTGCAAGAGAGCTGTCGGACGAAACCAAGAAACAACTGTGCCTGCAGTACCTGCAGCGAGGTGGAAAGGGCATGGGAGCGGTGGCGGTCTGAGGCAGACATTCATGACTCTGGGTAACCAGTGATGCTTCTGTCGTTTTGAGTTGTGACAGTTTTGACCATTGTCATTATTGCTGTTGCTATCATCATCCTCCTGTCTCGAGACCGTCAGCGGTTGAGATGTGGTTGAGCCTGGGCCAGCAACCGTTGTCCAAGGTCTCACGCGCACGAGGCTGAGCGCCGGCGTCCTGCGACTTGGCAAGTCTAGGACTCGAAGCCCAACATAGCCAAAGTAGACATAGTAGACAGACAACTCACCTAGTCACTAGTCATCAAAATCGGCAGTCAAGGCAACTAGAATAGTATCGGGATGAGCTCGAAGACATGACCTGCCGCCGCCATGGCAGGCCTCCACAGTGCCTGTCCCAACGACGCAGACCGCGGGGGTCGGGTCCCCAGTGAGCGCGTCAACGCTTCTTAGGTCAGCCGCCGCTGCTCCTGCTCCTGCTGCTGCCGGCGTTGTTGTTACGGCTGCTGAGCTGCTGCTAGTACTACTGCAGATGACACGACGACGACTGTTTGCGCCATCGCCTAAACACAAATGATTGAGACCCGCCGCTTGCGTTGTTCTTATTCTTGGTCTCCCGTTCGTCGGCAGGCAGAGAGCACGGCGAAGAAGCGGAAGAAGAAGAAGAAGTCGCGGGAGGACGGCGAGGCTCGCGGATGGACGGCCGGGAGCCGGAGAAGTCCTCAGCTGCGGCACCGGGAGGAGACCTTCATCGTCGATGATGAGTTGGAGGCCGAGGCTCGCGTGCCACACCCCCGAAACGCACAAGGTGCGGCTGAAGGGGAGCTGCGCCGCTGCGCGGAGACCCCATGGCGGTGGCAACCCTGAACCCTCATTCCAGTTAAAACCATACTCCGCTATTTCGCGGTGGATGAACGAAGCCAACTAAGCTGAAGACGATGCGAGAATGCAAGGGCCTCTGTCCTCTGTGCTTGTGACAAATCCCCGAAACTGCTGGCCGCATTGTCCCGTCACATCGTAAATGTGCAGTATGGAATCGCTCGCGCCGCTTCAGATCTTCGCAAAGTCAAGTTGCTTCTACCGTCCGATTACATGCAAGCTCCATCGGCTCCTTGTAGCATTTCGACGCATACCTTATTCTATGTCTTTGGCTGACTGGATTGGTTTTGTTTGTAAGCCTCGTGCGAACAAGCTGATGATGCATGGTGTTGGACTGCTGAAAGGCGCAAGTCAGCAGCGCCTGCCGTTGTTCCGCCGTCTTTTTGCAGGGGAGTAGTATGAACATCTACGCGGTCCGTCCCAGTCACTTCTCATTGCCCTTCGCCTTGTTCCGCGCCTGTCATTGTCTTCGGCCTGGTTTCACTGGAAGGAAGGCGAGGCATCTGCGTGTGTTGACTTTCTGTGTTCAGGTAGTTGAAGACCTTGAAGACTTCTTGCAGCACAGTCGCCTGCCGCTTGCCCAGGTCACAGTACGGTGTTCAGGGGCATTTTCGCAACTGGTAGGTTAGGCGGTGGCCAATGTTGTGCGGCAAGTCTGCTAGTTTGATGTGTCTTCTGCTTGGAATTGATGGCTGCTTCAGCTCGGGTCCACCTGGACAGGCAGAATCGGATCATACTGACATATTGGCTATCGAGACGGCTGAGGCGACAAGCGCTGAAGAAGACGGCGGACGACCTCCGAGAGAGCCAAAAGCGGAAGGAGGCCGCCTTCCAAAGCCGTAAAGACGGATCCACGATGATCCACGACCTGCATTGCCCAAGATTCTGTTGAAGACCGGAGAGGGTGTTCAGAGAGCTCCTTGCGGAGGACAAAACGAGGGCCCCGCCACCGGCGCCAACCTCGCAGGCCGCGACGGAAATGCCAACCGGAAGAGGGGACGGGGGTGTACCACATGGTCTGAGTATCCTGGCACCATGGCAGGCTCCAGAACCGAAGCCACAGCCCCAACTGAAAATCGATAGTGACAAGTGCTGCACAGCTTCTCGCGAAGAAAAGAGCCAGTCCGGGAATTTTGCCGGCTGCACTGCTCCAGACAAGTAGAGGGTCTAATTTTGACCAGTCACCAGAACAGTGCCCCATCTTCAACGAGTTGAAGGCTTTGGCACCTGCTAAGGCAGGCAGCTGCCAAAGCGCCTGCTGCTCCGGCAAAGGCCGCGCCGAAGGCCGAGTTGGGCCTCAAACTCACGACCACCGTTACCACCGTTCACCTTCTCCCTGTCCCTGCGGTGTGTTGAGTTCCAAGTGAAAAACCGAAGACTTCGTGGCTCCGCACCTTGAGACTCCCAAGCCGGAGGCTGCCAACTCCAGTGCCGCCGCCAGGAATGGCTCCGCAACGAAGGTTTGGGCACGGAGCCTTCTGGGATCGAGGGAGCGAGAGCACGGGATCTGAGCCCCAGCTTCCCAGTTCGACCTCGGAGCCCGAGAAAAACCGAGCAGGACCGAACTCGGAAGCTCCAAGGGGATGCGCTTTTCCCATGCAGGCTGCTCCGAAAGCTTTGCCACCCCGACCAGCACCTGGCTGGCACGCAGCTTTTGAACGGCTGCGGTTGCCGGAAGTTGCGACGCCAATTCTTTCGTGCGGTGTTTGGCTCGTAACAAAATTGGTGTAGGGCAGTGTAGGGGCCTTCAGTATTTCAAGATCCGAATGTCCCGAATCTGGAACCTGGCACCAAGGAGGGGAAAGATGCCGCAAAGACCAGCCGAGGCCCACGGACTCTTGCTTCCATCTTGCAGCTACACAGCCGCCGGAAGCTCCCGCTTAGGGGCTCCAGGGGCTTCAGTCAGCATCTTCCAAGGCACGTTGCACCG